AGATGCCACCACGCTGCAACCCCCGCTGTGTGAAAGGGGACTGCAAATATCCAGCGTCCTTGAGGCTCAGGTCGTTAGTGGCTTTTCTCACTTGTTTACCCAATGCACAATGTAGGGATAATAGCTTTTTTTATCACACAGCGGTGTTGTTAGCGTGAATTAGAAAGAATTTGCAAAGTTCATTTAGATCCTGGGATTAAAACGCTCATTTCAAGGGGCTGTTACTACATAAAAACAAACAAGCACACAAGCAGGAACGTTAAATGCATGCAATCATTCGTAATGTGCACTTACATAGCTGCTCTCTTTAAGGTTTACCGAGACCTACACAAACAATTAATTTAGTCAAACAACCCCCTGTGAGGTAAGCGATAGATAATGGTTTTATTTTATTGAAGGAGAAACACACAGTGTGATGAATATCAAGTTACCGAAATCGCATATCTGTTCCTACTTTGATCACTACTGAACTCCTTTACTATTAAGCAATACATTTACAGACATGTATCCTATGAAACATGCTAGCTTGCCTTTCCTGGAGGCAAGGGAGATAGAAAAGCAATTAAAGGTTTATTTTCCTAATGGATTAACTAATAGATGGAAACAGAGAGTAGGCTAAAAATAGAGACCATGTTAATATGGGACATATTTGTGCTCCATGTCAAATAAAAGGGCCTGGGAGAAGTCATTTTTAGCTAGTCATCCTCTACCCATCTCTGCAGGGTTGATTCTGTTTTACTGATTTCTCAAAAGCAACCTTGGTTACCCAGTTTCAAAGTGGCTGAAGCGCTTGGTTATCTCCCCTGTCTCTAAGGACATAAACATACCTTTAACTACCGTTTTAACACAAGCCTTGAAAGCTTCCTAACTTGTATTTATCCCTTAAATAGCAGCCGAAGGAAGGAGCATCAAATCAGAAGTTCTCGGTTGTTCTTATCCCGTATTTAATCCCTGTCGCTCCCTCCCTGCATAGCACAGGGCCGTCCCTTTTGCCACCCATGCTGAGTACATCAGCCGTCTTCTTGCGATTAACACAGTGCTGCAATGAGAGTTGTTAAAAGGTAGTTAGTAAAGCGGAGCAGGCAAGCTGTCCTAAACTTAGCGTAACCTGAAGCAAGCAATGAAGTATCCTCTGGTTCCTTTGGTGAATGATCTGACCTTTCCTCTTCTTTTCTTCTGGTTTTGTTTGCCATTTGTAATGCTGTTGGTCATAATGATTATCTGGCTACAGCTTCTACTTAATGAAGGTAAGTTCTGCAGTTGATCAGATAAAATGCTCCTGCATAAAGGCTTTATCTATTAGCTTCACCTTTAAAGCTAGCTATTTTTAGGCTAATGCCACTTGTCACGGAAGGAAACTAAAGGGTTTTTCAGTACTGTTGGTAGCATATGGAAAACCAAACTCAAATTATTAGGCTTTTCTGTTAAAAATGCTTGTAAGAAGACAAGCTACCGCCAGCTGTTCTTCCTTACCCTCTCCCTTTTTCTCAGAGGTAATTTAATTTAAGAAAGGCAAGTAATTTTTGTAAATTTATATAAAAAAATCCCCAGAAAGCGAACCTAACTCTCTAATTCTGTACACTTTAAAAGTCAGGCATTATAGTTCTCTTACACTTTTTTGTTTTTGTTTTTTTTTTGGGGGGGGGGGGAATGTTACCAAGGAGCTGTAAAGGGATTCTTTTATCAATGCTGAAGCTGATAGAACACTTTTGAAGGGAACAGGACATACATTTTCATTTATTTGTGTATTTTGCATCTCTTTCTGATCTACCAGTGATTCTTATTTCTAACATGTCAGTAACTAATAACAGGCTTTGGTTTAGGCTAATAATAGGCTTGTTGATGTACTCAGGAGGATAAAGCCTTGCTAGTTTGCTGTAATCCTGGAGCATAAGCAATCCCAGCTGAGGAATCGATGGTAAGTTCAAAAGCAGCAATTCTGCCTTTGCAGAACAGCTGTAGGAAGGAAAATAAGAACAAAGTTTTACTTCAGCAAGCTTTTACTTCTATTTGGTGCCCTCTGTTCTTGCTTAATAACGTGGTATCCGGTCCTACAATAGATCCCATAGGCATAGCGACGACGAGACAATACCCCCAGACAGCAGAGGAACAGGAGGTACTCACCACAGCAGAGGCTTGTGCTCCTCCCTCCTTTCCTGTCCCGCATGTGTGCGCACGTGGAGTTTTTTACTTTCAGCTCCCATTTTGCAGGCTTCGCACACAGCCGATGCTCATAACAGCCTCTGCTTGCTGCAGTAGTAAAGTATGTTCCCTCCACACACTCAAGTGCACTCTTGTGGGTAACCGAGCATAGCAATTGAAAAGCGCAGGTTGTGAGAGGTTGTGACAATCTGTACAAGCTACCCTGAGCAGCACAGGCACGGCTTACTGCTGATGCCTGAAGAGCAAAATAAAATATTTATTTTGCATAGGTAAAGGGTAGCTCTGCCACATACTTACACTTAGGTTGAGTATCAGCTTTTTGCCTGGACAGAGTAACTCCAGAATACCTTGACGCCTCAAATTAGATTTTCAGGTCACATCTACTGCATTTACCTTCACAGTTTCTGGCCCTATAGCGACTGTTATTAGCACCAGGCCTCCAAGGATTTCCACAAATGTTCTACAATCCATTTTAACCAATAAGACTAGACACATTACTAAATTTTTTACATACTAGTGTGTTTACAGGATTAGAACATTAAAGAGTTTTGCAATCACTCTTAAGAGAGAAAAATAAAACAGTGCTCCTTTTAATAACTTCCTAATTCAGTCCTATCCACTTATTTTATCCTAGTTTACAGCAGGCACAATTAAAAAGCAGTGTGTGTTCCAGCTCCTCCTTTAATATAGTTGCTGATTAAGAGCTAATTGGTTAAAATCAAACACTTGTACAGGCCTCTTATTGCCTAGTTGGAAATCCTTTATTTCAGCTGAAAAACATTCAGAAGAACCTTGCCCAGCTTCTAGCATGTAAGGCTTGCAGCTAGGAGAAAAAGTCACGTACAGGTATTTTATGTGTTCTCTTTAAACCTCTTTCTAGTGCAGATGCCTAGTGCAGAAGAAATAAACCAAAAATCTGATGAGCCTGATTCTGACTCTAAATTTGAGGATGAACCAACAGAGGAAGAAAACCAGAATGACACATCCAGTATAGAAACGCAAGAGGAGACAGAATCCAGTGGATCTCTGGGAAAACTGGGGCCCAAGCCTGCTTATCTGAGTTCAAAACCAAAAAGCCAAAAACAAAGTCTTCTTGCTGCAGTCTCAGACAGCTGGTCTCAGAGCCAGAAGATAAGACCTTCCCACACTGAGAAGAGTGATCTCTGTAACATCGTGATGGTGAGTAGCGTGACCAGACTACCCCTTTGCATATCTACTGCTTTTGTGCCTCAGCTCTGATTTTTTTTTTTTTCTTTTCACTTTTGCCTGACTCCCCAGCCTCTTGAGTAAGAGATTGGTTTCTGCTTGGTTAATGACTAACAAGGTATTTTTTTTCTGTCTTCCCTATTTGGAATGACTCCTGTTGTAGACAGGGTAAAGGTAACACAAAATTGTACAGAATAGCTACCAAATATGTGTATTGTATGTGTATATATATTTAAAGATATGTATACATATTTAAAAAGTCCTTGAGAAATTAATTTGAAACAGTGAAAATGGCTACCTATTCCTCTAAGGTAAGAGGTTTAGCTCAACTTTATACAGAATCTCTCCTGGTACTTATGGCTGATATTATGTATTTTTAAAAGCTGCTTCAGATTTCTTACAGTGGAGTATGTGACTAAAAATTAGGCGTATTTCACTTGCTCAGTAAGAGCTGAACCAGAGGTCTCTTTGCAAACACGGCAGTCCTAATCCTCTTAGGTTTTACACAAATGCTAAAAGATATATTTGAAGCAGTGGAAGAACTTAGTGTCTTGTGCGTCTTCTTTTTCCCTGTGCCTTGACTGTATGTTGCTTTGCAGAAGGGGCTGAGAAGGGAAAGCTGGTCTGTGCCTCCACTATCACTATTCGGTCCTGTCTACTCATTTACATTGCTTGGATTTTTGAATTGCAGCAACTGAGGTACTCGCCCACACTTACTTTGACCAGCTTTGCTGGAGCAGTAACCTTTATTAGGCTGAAATAGCTAAGGACTGCTATTTGCAGCTAATTGCTGCAGTTGTTCGTCTAGCACACCCTGAAGCTGAGCTTTAGCATGGAATCAGTAATATCTCAAGTCAAAGTATTTTTGACCTCACTAACACCACCAAAGCAGTACCAAGTCAGTGCAGTAAGATGTTTTTTTTCATTGTTGTTGTTCAAGTGAACGTATGTTCACACATACAAGTGAACAGAGCAGTCTGAAGAGCTGGGGTTTAAACTTGGCCCGTCTAGGACATAATACTCATAGTCACCCGAGGGTGGGTGAGGGAAGGGAACAAGCACTCATGGTCTCGCATCATTTATATCCTACTGAAAATTGAACCTCTTTTGAAAACATCATTGCCATGACAATTCTCTTCTTCCTTTTCTTCATCAGCTGTTGTGCACCATGCTTTCTTCTCTCACCTGGAACCTGGTCTGCCAGTTGCTCCAGATCTCTAATGTCCTGAGGATTCAACTGCTGCCATCCTCTCTGATTATCTACACGGCTCAGCTGTTTGTTTTGCTGGGTGAAAAAATTGTGAAAATCCTGGGCTCCCTGAGGCTGGAGAGCAGAGGGCTGTTAGCTTCAGTCCTGGGGAGGAGATATAAGCAAACTGGAACAGAGTGATGAAGCTCGGAGAACCACCTCAGGGTGGAAATAAAGCAGGTAGTCCCACGACCATTAGCAGCAGTCCCATTTACTATCAGTGAGAGCTACTACAGCATGGCAGAGGGGGGTTAAGTCTCTGAAAAGGAAACCTAGTCAAACTAAGTCGAGACACACTCGGGTCACAACAGCTACTTTCGGAGTAAACAGCATTGACTGGCTAAATATTAAATGGACAACAGCAGCCAGCCTCTTGTCCAGTGCTTGGGTGCACACAGATGACTTGCCTTTTTTTTTTTAATAAGGACCAAACACTACACTGGCACCAGTGATGCTCTCTGTTCACCGCTACTAATCTTTGATTTCAGACAAATAAGATCAAGGCAATAGCTCTCAGTAGTGGTTCTTACTGGAGTTTAAATGCGGTACAGCCCAGTGATTATTTTACTCATACTGCTGTTAGCGCTTTTCTGATCTCCAACTTGTGAGTTCTTAAAGTAGGAAACAATTTTTCAATGCTCAGGTCTAACAAATGAAACCAGCCTACCTCCAATTAACAAGAAATAATTAAGCCCTTAGCAGGTACTGAGCATAATTTCCTTCATTTCTGTCCGGGATATGCCTTTTCAGCACAGCTGGCAGGCTGGTAGAGGGTTAGATTACACCCCAGAGGCACCCATCGACAGATTGGTTTGTGCGGTTGGTGGGACCGCGAGGAGGTTGGTGGGGCTAAGATGAGCTATAATTTTGTGGCCTAAGGGTTCATCCAGTTGTCAGGCTGTGAACAGAATAGCTGTTTGCTCCTGGCGTTGATGCAGGCATTCAACAACCTTTTTTTAAAGAGGTCCTGAATTAGGAAGTCACATCCTGAAAAGTACATTGCCGTTTGTGAAAACGCTTGTCTCTGCTCCTCGTGTGAAGTAATGGTGTCTCCCCAGAGTCTGGCACGGGCAGACTGTGCAGTGGTTGCGCTAACCTGCACTCGTGATGAAGCGTGCCTTGTTTACGTTTACCTGTCTTTCCCTCCCCATCCCCTGATGTCCGCATGTCCAAATATTTGTCCAGAGCAGTATGCTCTTAAATAAAACTTGTTTGTCCACATCTTTATTTTCATAGGTCCTTTATTTAGCAAAAAAAAAAGTAATATTTGCTGTTCCTCAACTGTTTGCCGAGGAAACCTCCGTCTCCCCCTCTGCCCAGAGGGTGACCCTGGGCTAGGGTACATCACCTTTGGGGACGCCCCGCTTCTTCGCCCGGCGGGGAGCGGGCCGGGGTGGAGGTTTAAGGTTGGCGTACCGGTGGATGAG